TCTTTGGTATTGACGTATCACCATATTATCACTTGTCCATACTTTGTCCGTATAAAAAACACAATTGTTTTTTTTATATAAAGAGAGAAGGTCTTACAAAATCAGTTGATTTACTGTGAAAAGATTAGCTACTTCACAGATATCCAACCTTGTCGACGGCACAGCTTCTAGTTCATCGTTTACAATACTCAAAGATCAACGATCGAATAATATACGTAAATCAAAGCCTGGATTATGATGATGCTGATAAACCAGTACCAAGAAAGAAATGGAAAGTGTCCATTATTCATTCTTATGCTGATAAATTATCAAATGTGGAATACAAATGTATAATGTGCCTGGGAATAATGAATCTGTACTTGATATCGTAGTTTTGTAATATTAGTCTTTTAATCTAGATTATTCGATGCAGTACTACTTCAAACGCAAATGTCAAACGTCACTTAATTAACGTACATGGTTTAGATCATCTTCGATCGACGAATAATCAAACTGAATCAAGTGAAAAATTCGATACACATCGTAAAACTGTACTTGATGCAGCTGCAATTAACTGTATAATAGTTGGCAGCAGGCCGTTTGGAGAATTTCGTAAGACTGGTATGCCTAAAAACACATTTTCCCTTCAGTTTTTTATATCATGTTAAGATTGGTTCATATCCTACAAAACTAAATATTCGTTCAGTACTTTTTTGTTACACATAAAGCATGTGTTTTTTTATCTAACAAATAACTCACTCCTCAATTATTCATTAATATCAATTGGAATTAGTTTTTTCTGTTCGTAGATTGTTAAAAATTAAAAAAAATTGGTTCCGTCAGATAAAAATAAAATATAAATTAGAATCCTTCGAGAGAAAGAAGTTCCATAAATCACATCACTTGTATAATATCAAAGGTAAATCAATCTTGCTATTTTCACTCTAATTGCAACATTGTTAAATAAGAATGAAACATATCATAATACTACGTCTTAAACTTTAATTAAGAACATCTGTTCCAACAATTATTTCCTAAAAAACAGTTCATTTAGGTATGAAGCAATTCTTGTTAAGAGCGGTTCCGGGATATATTGGTCCTCACCAAAATACGGCTACAAGAACAATTAGGAAATTATATTCAAAGAAATTGTTAGAATTACAGGAAGAATTAAATAGTGTATGTTATGTTTGTTTAACCACCGACTTATGGAAACGTCCAAAAGGACATCACTATCTGTGTATCACCGTCCACTATATTGACCAGTACTTTCAGAATATATCGAAAGTTCTTAGTTTAGACGGTTTCATGGTAGACATTTATCAACGAAAATTAGAAGGCATTTAAATCGTGCTGTCAATAGATGATTATCCAATTATTCTTTGTTGTTAAACAGTCACTAAATCTAGAGGTTCTAATGAAGGTGTTAAATAAAACTAATCTATCTTGTAAAAGTCACGCCAATTGCAATAGGAATGATATTATAAGGTCACTTTACGCATTTTTACATAGCGAATGAGACTGAATTTGGAATACCTGTAGTGATGTCCAGAATTTTCTGACCTACGTCAGAGGAGATTGACTTATCAGTGTGACCGTTACAATAACTGATAACATTGTTCTTCTTATGAACGTTGACTTTTACGCATAACGTTCTCCAACAACATCTAGATAATGTGTTCGTATACATATACATGGATATATAAAGAAAGCCGGATTTGATATACACTAATAAAGTATTGTTTTATTGAATTTTAGATTTGGACTTGAAGCAAAAGTCACAGCAATCGTAACTGATAACGGTAGTGATGTACGTGCAGCTACTCAACAGTCAGATAAATTTGGAGTTAGATTGTACTGTCTGTGTCATGGTTTGAACTTGACTATGAAAAATGGTCTTCAATTATGGAAAAAAGAAGATAGTAAGAAAAACAAATCAATCGATTCAATAGGGTAGAATGGCTTTTGATAGGATTTTTGTACTTTTAAAATTAAGATAAAAGTTTTATATTTAGTCAACACATAACGAATAAAGAATAAAGACTTATTCTGTGACAGATCAGTTAATAAATATTTCGTATAATAGCACACTGTTTCAATCGACATTCTCTCTTACCAGTAACATCAACTCGACGTGCGATATCGTTGAAAGATCGAAACCAAGAGATTGGCACATCTGAGTGAAAACTTCTTGTGTGCATTTCATAAACGTCCATAGAATCATAATTTCTTGTCAATTATTTGTTATAAATGAGATTTTAGATTTTCATTAAAAAAATTTATTTTTCTATTATTTTCTGTTTTCTTGAACTACAAATCACAGATTTATTTCACCTTATTTCTCAAACACAAAGATTTAACTTACAGCACTCTTTATGATGAAAAGAAATAAAGATAAACTAATACTAATAATAGATTCTGAAGTCCTTTGACCTATAGAAAATGTTTAGATTTTTAATAACAAGCTGTATTATTTAGTTCACATGATGAGAATCAATATCACAAGTCGAATATTGATGGAAATAAAGAGAATATAAATGACATATTGAATAAAAATGATCGATTAGATGAGGATGTTGAAGAGGATGAAGAAGAAGGAAGAGCAGCATTTGCTGATAGTACCGATGATGATGAAATGAATTCCAATATAGCAGAAGATGATTTCGATGAAGAAGATGGTAATGAAGCACCTCGTGATGATATGGATATCATTTCGTCCGACGACGAAATGGACAACGATATGATGCGAACATCAAATGACTCTTTTAATACTGAAAATATTAGTAATGTTCTTTATAGTTGTCGAAAAATCGTCAACATCTTCAACAAGTCTAGTATTCTTTATGACATTATTCAGAAACTTGCTCGTCCTGAAATCAAGTACCATTTATCTATTGACATGCGTATTAGATGGAACAGTACGTGTACAATGGTCTTCAAATTCGTCGCCTATCAAGAAATTTTAAATGAATTGCTGAATCAGTTGCCTTCGATTCAAGGTGTACGTACAGAACAAAAAAATCTGTTGCTCAAGTTACAGCTATCAAATGCACAATGGGAGATCATGAAAATTTTAAAACATATATTATTGTTATTCAGTGAAGGTTCAGATATGTTATCCGGAAGCAAATATCCATCATATGCAGTGGCTTATAACGTTATTGATTCTCTGTATTTTTATATTCAAAGCAGTACAACAAATCATATTGAAAAAAAAATTAAAGAAGCGTTATGTGAAACATTTGATCATTATGTACGTCGTCCATCTGGTTCATCAGAACATAATTTAATGCTGGTAAGATCTTAAAATTATAAACCCTAAACTTCTAGGAAAACAACATTTTCTGTTTTTTACCAGTAAACGCATGAAAGGTACAGCGAAGCTTGAATCTGTATAAACGAAGTATCGATATCAGCTTTATATGACTTTCACATCTCTTGAAGATACGAATATATCCTTTAGTTCATATTCTTCGTTTTATTGTTTTGTTTATACATCCCACATACATAGTATGAATTTCACATGCAACTATTCGTCTTCTGTTGTTATCTGCATTGACATATATGTTAAAGTACGCTTCTCGTCGCTGTATCAATGAGATCTTTCTTCCATATATGTTATTGTCAGTTTCGTATTCATTTTAAATGGGAAGATTTTGTTAAGTGACAGAGGTCGGATAAATACAGATACTTTCATCCTGGCTCTGTTGCATGAAGTATATCAACATGCATTTATGTCCTTCAATTCATTGAAACTGTTAGATGACCAATTAATACTAAAAAATGTAGGAGATACATTTGAAAAAAACGACGTTTTTTAATATCAATTATCTTAAGCCAGTATCTATTAGCTAAACTTTTCATATGTAAAGAGAACAATGATAATAAAAAGCTTATATCGAGCATAGAAACGCAAATAATTGGTGTAAATTCATATGCTTCATTGTTTGAAAAAGATATAGTTTTTGTCGAAATGTCCGTCAAAAATTAGTAGTTTATGAAAAAAACAAAAAATCCAAGTCAATCATCTAAAGAAAATGTTTTTGGAGATGTAGTCAGAATCAACTCAAATTTGCTCATCTTTATTTGAATGATTCTTATATTGATAATTTCGAAGTGGATGTTCTGAATAGAACAGCACTTCCTGATCATTGGAGTAGCATATTAAACAGAAGCGGAAATAATGAGCATATCATCCGTTA